GAATCTTCATCCATTGTATCAACTACTTAATCATAATCAGTCTTTGTCATCAACTGGCCAGGATAAGGGAAACTATTTTAATCATCTTACTAATCAACATAATCCTAATCATCGGATTAATTTATCTCCGGATAATAATACAATATGAGTTGGTGTGAGAAAGAAATTGCTACACAAAAAAAAAAGTTAAAACGAAATCAAATTAACCCAGAAAATAAAAAAAAAGTGAAAAGAAGTATTAAAAAAAATTCTTGATTAACTAACCACAAGTTCATTAAACTGAATTAGTTAATTGCTTATACATAGAGAGAATTGTATTACCTTTCATTCATCAAATTTAATCACAATTTTTTCTTCTTTTAATTTGAAACAATTAACTTAATCTTTCTTAATGGTCAAGTCCATAAATCTTGATAAGTTTGTTTCCTTGCTTGATTGATGTAAATCAACTTGATTAAATGTATATTCACACACACACACACACACACACAATTAAACAATCAACTAATTATTTACCCATAAAATTGTCCAATCAAGTTAATTGTTACCTTATATTAATCTAATTGTTAACCTTAAACAATCAAATCATTTATTATCAATAACAATTAACAGATTAATTTGTGTGTGTGTGTCTTTTATTTGATACATATGATTAATGATAACAATTTAATTTGATCCAAATGAACATTAAAGTAGTTACAATTGAGAATCAAATGATTCATTTATTAATCATTGATTAGCGTAGGTTTCATTGATTACAATTAATGAGAAATTGTTATAATAATAAGATGATAATGATTATCATTGATTTGACAAAATATCAATCATTATTGAGATGATGAGGAAAGGTAAGAAAAGGTTGATTTCCTTTATTCATCTTAATGAAATTGATGATGATAAAGATGAGGAGACATTTTTTAAATTAACCAGAGGCTCCCTTTTACTTCAAGTTATACTTGGTTATCATGCTCATCATTATCATCATCATCATCGCCATCCTAAAGTCTTGTAACATTTCAACACAGGAAATTCATTGGGGATGAGGATGATAATGATGATGATTTCTTTTCACCTCAATTAGAAAACTATTTCAAGTGAAGATGCAGATTTTTCATCATCTTCATCTTTCTCTCTCTCTCTCTCTCTCACTTCCACCCAAGCAAAAAGTCATCATCATCAAGAAGAAGATGATATTACCTTTAATTTGTTTGTTTGTCTGATATTCATCATCTCAACTCTTGCTGTTAGATCAACTTATTTATCTTCATCTTCATCAACCTCATCATCTTTGACAGTCATACAAGCCAATTACAGGTAGAGATGTAAAGTAAAACCATTTGGCAAATAAAAATCAACATTTTGTATCATTTTTAAAATGATGATGATGATGAGAAGATGATTAGACGGATGATGTAGATAGAAAGATAATAAATAATATATATATTTAAGTTCGTGTACAAAAGTAAGAAGATGATAACTGAGTATCAATTGAAACAGGAGATAAACATGAGATTCAAGAATCACCTTATTCTTGGACAGATTAAAGAAGATGATGAGAGAGAGAGAGAGAGAGATCATCAAATATCATGAAATCTCATGTTGTGAGATGAATCTGAATAATCATCAGACTGAATTAAGGTAATTTTTCATCATCTTCTTCACCATGTCCAGTCTTACAGGATATTTTTCATCCCTTTTTATTTATCATCTTCTCACTTCCATCTCATCATGATGCTAATAATCATCTTCATCTTGAGCACGTCTTAATCAACTGAATAACAATTACCATAGCTTTTTAATCAGGCAACATTAATTAGTATCATTAAGATGATGAAATAACAAAACGGGTTAAATTGTCTATTGTCTTCCTTGTTAAAGATAATTACTTTTTTTTCTTGATTATGATTAAGATGATAATTATTATTATTACAATGTTTCATCCTTAATCATACAATTAATTATTTTAATCAGCATCATCATGATGAGAGTAGCACAACATTGATGCTATTATCAAACTAACAGTAACAACTTTATGATTAATTAATTACTTTACCTTGACATTAAATGTCAATCAATATAAGAAACCGAATTGAAAGTTTCAATAATAATCCAAAAATCTTAATCAATACAATCAACTAATCAATTAAAAATTTCTTAATAATTATCGCCTTACAATTAGTATTACATTAATATGATAAAGTGATTAACCATGAACAAATAAGTTGAAGGGAAAAAATTTCATTCTTTCATTAATTAACTTTACAATTAACTAAATTAACTAATTATTATTGTCTGTCTGATGGTGATAATAATAATAATCAACAGTAATCGCTTGAATTTAATGTAATTAATTGATTGTATGATTGATTGATTGATTACAAATTGATTGATTGATGATTATATCTTTTAAATAATATAACGAATCAAATTATTATTAAATTGTTCACAATTGAAGATAAATTTTCAAGGTAAATTTTTTTATTAAATCAAATTATTATTTAACTAAATTGTTCATCATTAAAATATTATCACTTTATTATCTATTATCATGATTAACTTGATTAGTAGTTGTTAGATATTAATATTTGTGTGATTTGTTGATTGTGATCAACAGCACATCCCAACCAATTAGTTGATTATATTACTCTCACTCTCTTTTCCTTAATCAAGTAAATTAATTAATTACTTATTCACTCATGTGTTAATCATTATCTCTTATAACCATCTCATCATTTTAATTACAAACAATTTAAATGTAATTTGAATGATAATATGATGAAGGTGAAAAAGTTAATAGTTAATCAGAACTTTTTTTTTTCTTAATTTCTTTGCATCAATCAGTAAATTGAACAAACTTTTATTTATAAACTTCCATGTTAATTAAAGTGTTTCTCATTTAAATCAACTATTTATAACCCAACAGAATCATCTTAATCATCTTAATCATCTTCATCTTCATCTTTATCATGAATGTCAATCATAAGTCGTCATTCTGAATATAAGAAGGAAACTTTTCAAATCTAATCTCAATTGAAAAAGCCCTCAGGCTATTAACAAATAAATAGCTTCTGATTATTATACATTATCTTATATTAGATTGATAACTTTCAATGAAATTAAATATTTTTACAATCACAATTAAATATAAATAACAGAAATATTATCATTTTAATCATCATCAGTCTTTATAACAAAAGGTAATCAACTGATTGTAACAATTTAGACTTTGGTATTAGAAACTAATTAGTTAATATCATCATTATATTATACATGTATATAAGTTTAGATAAAGAAGAAAAAATTTTCCAATTCGATTGTGTAACAAATGATATAATATTAGTTACATTTAAATTGATTTTTAATTGTAAACAATTAACGAATACAATTAGACCGAAGCTCCTCCCCTTTTTTTCGCGGGAAATTTGATTTTCATTTTTCGTTATCAATTGTTTACTTTTTTTTTCCCAATCGTTGGTCAATTTACTTAATTGGTGATTGATTGTTTTCTTTAACGTGTCTTGATTATGTGATTTAATTGTTGGTTGGTTGGTTTCTTCTCTCACTTTTTCAATTGTTCAAATTTTACCTTAATGGTTAAGTGGTTTGAGTCTTTTGTCTTTTTAATTGTTTCAAAATTAAGTAACTTTGATTATCTAATGTTAACATGTCATTCACTTTGGTTTAGCTTAAAATTGTCTTTCTTTTCTCATTCATTTGGCCTTATTTACATTTCGATTGGTATTTTAAACGCACCTTTTAGTGGCCTTGATAGGCGAGGGATTATCGTTCTGTCTAATCAATCTCTTGATTCTCTCATATTAATCAATCAATTATTTTAAATTCTTTTTCTTTCTCCCTAATAGAATTGCTAATTTGGTGTGGTTATTGGTACAGAAGAAAAGAGTTGGTTTAAATTGGTTTTTGCTCTCTATTCCATAACATCATCATCATCATAATCATCATCTTGTTCCTCAACAACAACAACAACACCAACATCAGGGTAAAAGGCTTGAGGCTGTTCAGTTTTCTGTAATCTGATCAGGTAAGTTAATCTCTGTCTATGTGTCGGTTGTCAGTTGATTGTTTTTGTCAACTGAACAGGTAGATGATGAAGGTAACATTTTGATAGAGGGAAAGGAAGAGAAGGAAGAAAAATCAATCTTGTTTTCCATGGTTTTCTCAATTAAATGAGAGTATATATGAGAAAATAAGATTTTTTTCTTCCTTCTTTTTTTTCTAATATCTGTATGAGTTAAAAGTAATTTCATTTTCTCTTCTTTATCTTCTCTATCAAATGTTTATATTTAAGGTTCATATTTCATGAAGACGATGACTTTGGATGAAAGTAATAGCAAATATAAGGATGGAAATACCTTGTTTTGTATGCAAGTCACCATGTTAACTCTATCTCTCATCTTATGATGATGAACCTGATTCTCTCTCATACTCAGGCTTTATCTTCATTCTGAAATTTTCTCTTCACTCTATGTGACCCTGGAGCAAAGGTCTCAGAAGGCATTTGTCCATAAGTATTATTCCAGTGAAATATTATCATTTTTACTTGAATTTCTCAGCCTAATCTTACTCCCCAATTGAGTGAGACTTTAGGTGTGTATTTATAAAGAATAACGAGAACTTAGTGAGAGAGAGAGAGAGAGAGAGAAAAAAGTTTCTTCTCTAATATTTACACATTAAGAGATTGAGATAGTTACCTTTTTGTTGGATAAACTTCAAGGTTTTTCTGCTTTCTGGTAACAACTTAAACTCTCGGCTAGAAGTTGATGGTGATGATAATGATTCTAACATGATAAAGTTAACACTTTTCGTGTTTCAACTAAACAGAATCTCTTGTAATGAGACCAAGAGTAGAAAACAAATGAATTGACTCATTTTCTTCTCTATCATCAACAACAATCTATTTACACACTTGTCAAAATTTCTTATTTGGTTACTAAATTTTTCTCCTCTTTTTCTTTGCTTATTTTTAGGTTCGTTCTCTCTCTCTCTCTTAGTCTACACATAAATCTATCGTTGGTGTATTATCTTTGGTTCTATCAGGAAGTTATCAAGCCTCGAGATAGAATCAGCAAATAATAATATATATTTGACAGAGAGCGAGGTTTATATAATATATTTATTGCGGTCATTTTGTACTTGACCAGTGGTACATGCGAATTACATGGTAGAAAAATCCTTTAATACTCTACAATGTACAATGTGTGACAAAATCTTGTTTTTCGGTCAATGCATTTTCTTGTTTCTCTCAATAAATCACTGGACCTACGAAAGAGCAAGAGAGAAAGAGAATCAAATCCAAAGAGAAACCAAGTTAGTTATTCTTTTTTTCTTTCTACTCTTCGAAAAAGATAACTGTCCATTTGTCTTCACACTGTCAAGAAGAAAAACTTTCAATCTTCTGCTTGGTTCGAAATCGTAACATGTATTTACACCATTGGTGTGGAAATATTGGCCATAATAGACGATCAAATATTTCGATGTTAATGTCATTCGATTTCCTCGAAAACTTGGAGTAAATCTGAGATCTCACCTTTCGAAACAAAAAGTTTCCTCATCTTTTTCTTGGTCAATTTTTTCCATCTTGAAATGTCCAAAGAATCGAGACAATTAATATAAGTAAGCCGAGGTGAAGGTGGATTAAGGAAGCAATTTAAATCTCATCTTCATCCTTTCCTTAATTTCAATCAGAACTTCATGTAGTTTGAATGATGATAATGATGATGATGATGATGGTTTCTCCTTGGAAATTGGCATAATCAATTGATCAGTTAAAGAGAAATGTTTTCCTGTCAGTGAGAAGTTTAAAATTGTTACAATTTGTTTATCCACAAGGAACAAAATATTAAAGGTAATCAGGGAAAGGTTAACGTTTGTATTTGTATTCTGTATGTTTTCATATTGTAATTATCTTCATCTTCCTCCTCATTAAAGGTAAACACTCACGGATTCAATAATAATAACAAGCCAATTGGATGAGAGGTTAAAGGTTATTGTTATTGGCCTTTTCGCGTTTTGTTAACTACAATCCAGAAGGAAGCAAATGATTTGAAATAAAAGGATCGTTAATTGGAGTTAAATGAGATTTGAAAGCTCAATCATTAAGCGAAAAGAAAACGAGAAAAGTAACTCAAAGAAAAAAGGAAAGAGAACAAAAAAGTTTTAAATTGATTGCCCAAAGTTTTTTCGCTCTCTCATTAGGATTTTCTTTCTCTCGTTTTCGCTTATTATTATTGTTTTTACTGGAAGAAAAAGGAAAATTTAACAATAATAATCGCCGGAGTAACAAAACGCTATTGGAAATGCACGTGAAAAAATAACAAAGAGAAAAATATTATCCACCAAAGAAGAGAGAAGGAAATTTCCTCTCTCTCTCTCTCGAAACTTTTACATATTGGACATGATGATGACCAAACCCTCGAGCTGTTTTCCTATGGTTCAAGTGAAAGTAGATCGTGCACACGAAAGGAATATCTCTCCTCCTCTCTTTCTCTCTCCCTCTCTTCATCATCCATGTAGTGACCAGAATATCTCATTAACCCTATCACTGTCTTCACCATCAACCGCATAAACATAACCATCATCATCATTAACCATTTAAGTTCCTGGGCGGTCATTTTAGACCCATTTCTAAGCCCATCGTTCCGTTGAAATGATTTGCTTGGCAAGACCCGTAAACACAAAAGTCTATTATGATTGTTGTTTAACCTGCTTAAGATAATCTTTGTTTTTGGTCAAGGAAACAAACAAACCACAAAAACGTTAGATGGACATGGATAAGTAGATAATAGAAATGGATAAAATAACAAGAGAATATTTAGAAAATATTCTGTAATATTTTTGGCGTTTTCTCTCTCTCTCTCTCTCTCTTTCTCTTCCCATTTTCTACTCCACCTCTACCTTCATCATCCTCCTTCATCTTTTTCTTTTTTTCTTTCTCCTTCTTTCTTCATATTTCGCATCAATGGATTCGTGAGTTGATGATGAAGCAAAACGGGATAAAAGCATTTACAAGGAATAGACAAAAACAACAACAAACCCAACATATGGTCGACCTGAGGTCCAATTTTAGGAGCTGATTTTCTGTGATAAAAATGATATAAAATGAAAATGGTAAAGGTCGATAGCGATAAACTCAATTCATAGGCACGCATCAGGAAGATGAGGAGGATGAGGAGGTGGAAGAGGAAGTAAAACAGCCGATGATGATGATGATGAGGGTTAGAACATTTAAAATTGAGATTACACATAAGAAAATAATATTATCACTTTATACTTATTTGTATCTTTTACTTTTTAACCTCTAACCTTTTGCATCTTTCCTTTATCAGCCTTTTCGTTTCCTCCAATGGTCAGTTTATCACCATTATTTGTTTAAAGACCCTTTTAAAGAGATGGTAATTAAAGGGGAGGGATGATGATGATGATGATGGTGATGGTCATCTTTCAGATAGAGATGATTATGATTACCGTTGGTGTATAAATGAAGGTAAAAGCTCAATGGAGGACAGAGATACATGAATCTGGCAAAGGAGAAACAAAATAATCTTTTATGAAAAGATGATAAGTTTATCATCATAATGACTATGATGATGATGATGATGATAATGATGATGATAGAATAGATAATGTTTATGATGGTCATTTGTGAAGGTAAAAAATTCACTTCTCTTTTCTTTTTAAATAATAATAGTAGTGAGAGAGTAATGATAATGGTAAAAGTGAATAGATTACTATCGGTATGAGGGAGAATCATCATCATCTCTCTCTCTCTCTTTTATCTTCATTATCATCAACATGATGATGATCATCATTTAAATGATGAGGAGTTTACATGTTCATCATCATCTTTACTAGAAAAAAAAGTTACCAACACACAAAAGCATATGGATGGTTTGGTTTGGTTAGTTGAATGAATGGGCGATGATGATGATGATGATGATAAAATAACACCAGCCCAAAGAGTATCTGAGAAGAAGAAAAGAAAGAGAGATGATGATGATGATAATATCTACATAATGTCAGGTCAGTTTTTCAAGTCTACATGATGATGATAATCTTATAAACGTTTACCCTCACCTCACCTTTTCAACATTCACCTTCCGCCTTTAACCAAGTTACTCCCAAGACATTTACTCATGGACACATTGGGCTACTCTGGGCGCACTCAAGTAATAATAGTCAAGTCGCAAAGTTAATTGTAAGTCTATGTAAGTTTTTTTTCATCTCTTGCTCTTTATAATGATGATATTGTTTTTTTAAACAACGGAAACGAGGCTCAATCAGGGAGGAAGAGAGAGAGAGAGAGAGAGGCGGTGAGATTTAGGCTGAGATCAGGAGAATGAGAATGAGAATGAGAATGGAAGAGAGAGAGACAGAGAGAAATAAATAGAAACCGATAGTTTCTACTACATTTCTATGTATATTTAACAGTGACCATCATCAATCTTCCATTATCTCTCTTCACTTTCTTCTTCATCATTGACTTGTCTTCTTCTTTTTTTATATATATTCTCCCTCTCTCCCTCTTTTCTTCCACTGTTATTTAACTCTCATTTAAGCTGATGTATTATTATCATCTCACTAACTCCTTGTCCCATGTATCTTTTTTTTCCAGGTCAAAACAATGTTAATCTCTGGGCACTAACCCTGAACATATGATGGTGATCACATCAACAGTGATCAACATTTTACCAAGTATAAAAAAAGATGAGAGGATAAGGATTGGAAAAGTAAAGGAGATAATCTCACTGGTACAGAATATTTTTTTTTTTCACTCTTGATTTTAACGGTTTCATACACTCACTTAGAATCACTTCCTTATCCAGATCTGTCTCTGTGTAATAATCATGGTCGTCAAGGCAAACCAATCACTCTGTGGATATGATGATGTATTATGTAGATTGCGGATGGAGAGGCAAAAAATTGAGCAACCATTTTGTTCTGGCAGGCCAATAACACGACAAAAAGACATCAAATTGACGAGAATGAAGGTAGTTAGAGGGAGATGAAGAATGAGAGAGAAATAGAGAGAGAGAGAAAGAGAGTCAAACTTTGCCTCGAGATGCAAAAAAAGGACTTTTCTTTTTCTCTGTCTAATATTTGCCATTTTGTCTTTTACCTTTATTTTCATGTTCACCATTGGATGAATTTCCTTGTCTATTGATGATGATCTAGAGCCTCCTGATTGCTGAACTGATTTGACTTTGACTGAATTTTTATCTCTCTCCAATTGCTTTGATTTTTTTACTGTTGAAGCCAAAAAAAAGGTAGAAACCGAAAAGAAGAAAAAAAAAGTTCTGATAATCATCTAAATGTAGGATTTTTGATCCATCACAGAATTGATGTAAAGTGACATGCACACTGTTTATCATTACGATTCTCTCTTACTCTTCAGCGTCATTTCCTTTCTGATCTTCTATCAGTTTTCTCATCATCATCATCATCATCTTCATCTCCATCATATATATGAGGATATTAATCATTTCCATCTCAATTCTAATCATTTTATCATTTTTCCTGCAAATTGCTTATGCACAAAAGCAGAAACAGCAAAAAAAAAAAAGGTTGATTTGCAAAAAAAGTCCCAACATTTGCTGTAAAAATAATAATTAATATTGCAAATGTTAATTGCACTTGTTGAAACTGTTAATTGTAATTGTTTGCAAAATAATGTTTCATTATTTAATTGTTACTATTAATATTATGTAAATATACAGGGTGTTTTTTTATTAACTCCCGATTTTTGTCGTCTTATAAAAAAAGCCTTGTAAGTTCAAATAATATAAGTTTGGTACCATAGAATAGACCTTGTTGATATATACATGAGTCGTTAAGGTCAGGGGTCAAAAAGGCGTGGCTTCAGAAAAAAGCGCGAAAAACAAAAATTTTTGTATCGCCGAAAATTTGACCTCAATTCTTGTATTTGAACAGAAAAAAATTTTTTTTATGTTGAATTTGTTCAAAAAGGAAGCACCAACAATCGTGCTATCTCGGTTTTTAGATAAGCACTCACAATCGGCTACAAATCGTTTTTTTCTCTAATTTTCTCAAAAAATGCAATTTTCTCCCTATCTAATCCCATTGCAATGGCGAGATAGGAAAATTTTTTTCGCTAATTTTTTTGGCCTAGAAGTTCTGAGAATAATGCCGACCCAACAAATTAGTTAAGTAAATTGAACATTGAGCTTTCATTTAAACTAAAAATCAAGTCTCTGAATTAATTGCCTCAAAAGTTATGAGCGTTCAAACGTCGGGAGTTAATAAAAAAACACCCTGTAAGTTGAAAAGCTTTTGTTAATCATAATGATGGTGATAATGATAATCAGGAAATGATGTTGATTGTTGAGCAAAGAGTAATAGCAAGAGAGAGCAGTTGATACCTCTTACGATAAAATTAGTTCACACCGATGAACCAGGTGGAGGCACAAGTCAATAGTAAGAATGGTCAATACGCTGAAAAAATGGACTTTTGAGTTAAGAATTGAAACTTTGTAGTTTTGTAGGGACATAAGAAAGAAATCGTTTGTTAAAAATCTCATTGTGATCTGAGCGTTAGTTTTCGAGCGAATTGCGTTCAAAGTCCAAACTTTAGATCACTTTTTCTCAGCATTGGTAGACTTTTTAGGAATGAAATTAAGAGTGTAAAGACAACTTTTTATGCGCTTTCAAAAATTAGGCTTTTACAGACTAGAAATATCTACAATTATCAGGCCAAAGCGATGTTTAGTCCAGATAAGTCGAACGCTTTAGGTATTTTGTTACGAATTCTAAACGAATTTTTGGACTAAATGATCGTAAAGAAGTAAGCTCAGTATTAATTCCGCAAAAAAATCATAAAAATAATCATTAGAATAATAATTAATTAGAAAAATTGATTAATTAAATCTCCATTGACTTGCTGCAGTTTTTGCTATTTACTTGAGCTCCACCTGGTTCATCGGTGTGAACTAATTTTCCTGTTTTTTTGTAGTCTGCAGTCTCTTCCTATTACTCTTTGTTGTTGAGACAATGATGATTGTTAATTGTTGATAATGTTGATTGTGTTGTTGATTAATTGAAAGCAAATTGTTTCAATATCTTATTCAATTTTCTGTATATGAGTATATGTTATTAGTAATATATTTCAATTATCAGCAATTATCTTGAAATCATTACGATGGGTTAACAATCAATTGATTACAATTTAACCATCATTAATAATTATAATCATTTCATTAACAATCAATCAGATTTTTTTTTGTTCATTGAGTTAACATGATTTTTTTTTTCAAATCAATATAAAAGGTCAATTGGTTTTACTTGATTGTTGTTGTTGTTGCTTTGTTTTTACACTTTTGATTAAATTGCAATTGTAATTGTGATTGACAGATTCAATCATTACTATTGTATGAATGTTAACTCAATCACCAGTATATATATATAAATCACAATTTAATATTTAATCAAGTTAACAATGATTAATAAACTTGTGTGATTGCTGTTAATGAATAAGGTTAAGGAGATGAATTAACTAACAATAATCAATATAATCAACCATGAACAATTGATGATGAAAAAAAAAAACATTAACCATGATCATGGTCTTATTATTGACCAACGTAACAATCAATTAATCAATAATTGATAATATACATAATATTAATTCATTGAAATATTAATCATTGAAAAGATTTTGTATTGGTTGAAGATTTTGTTTAATTGGTACAATATATTAATTGTTGTTATCGTTTAAGTATTAATTTGACAACAAGTTATATACTTTTTGATTGACAATGAATATAACAATTAACAGTAATCATTAAACTTTTCTAATCAAACAAAAATTAAGTTAAATTGTAAGTAAACAATTCAAATTGTCAAGTGATTATAATTGATTAGAATGAGTGAATGAGAGAGAGTGAGAGAGAGAGGAAAATCTTATAACTCCCTTTGCATAAAGGTAAACATATATTACCTTTGTAAATATCATCTACTTTTATTTTGATGATAATAATGATGATGAGGATGAAAAGATGACACAAAAAGGATGCGGGGAGATTGATTTGAGTACTTAATTGTGAAGCGACTCAATGTTTACACACTTTCATCATGAAAAAGGAAGACAAATTTACCTTAATCATTTGATACGAGAAATTAGCTCATTAAATCAACAGACAATTTAAACTTAATCAATGTAATATAAGGTTTCATCGATTTAATTGTAAATCATTTTAATCAAAAATGATAATAATTGTTGTCAATTAATACCTTGACTTGTCAATATCAATAGAGTTTTTTTCTCTCTCTCTCTCTTCATATGAACAATTTAACTCTGAAATTTATCCTTATAACTGATTAATTGTATTGACAATTTAGCAAATTGTCGTAAATAATATAATCTCCTTTCTCTTAATCAGATCCAATGATAAACATTAATATCTAATATATATCAATCAATGAGCAATTTGTTACACTTAATGTTAATCATCATCACATTGATATCGATAAACAGGGAAACCGTAAAAAAAAGTTCTCTTTGCCGATTAGAACTTTTTGTTTTCTCTCTCACTCAAGTTCGACGGGTGAAACTTTTCCTCTCCTTAATTTTGGATTGATTGTAATCTTGAATAATGAAAAATTAAACACTCACATGATAATCTCACAGGTAAAACTACAAATCACTTTATGATAACTTTCAACTTTTTTTTTTCTTCTTCTTCTTAATCTTCTTGATAAAAGTTTACCTGGTCAATGGAGTCAAAGTAAATTGTTATTATATGAACACACCAAATATAATCTTCATCTTCATCTTCATCTTCATCTTCATCCTCTCTCAGTATCTTCAGCCTATTGGAATCATCATCATTTTCTCATCATCTTTTATCTTCATCCCTTGCTAATGTTCAACTGTTACCTATTGAAGTTTTTATATTCTTCCAGTGAAATCTAATAATCTCAAGCATTATCATCATCATCATCTTCATCCTCATCACCATCAACTATTATGAAGGCGATGATGATATTATCATCTCTCTCTCTCTCTCTCTCTCTTTCTTTCTTTCTTTCTTTGAAAAAATCAAACAGTTTAAAGATAATAAATAAATTGTGAAGATCCTAATTTATTATCCTTTGATTTACTTAATAATCAGTAAATTGTTTTCTTACTTAACGCAATTAATTAACATACACATTGATTATCATCAAATCAAATTGTTTCAAACTTATATAATCTTTTTTTTTCCAATTGATTGTTTCTAAAAAAAAGTTAATTCTTATATTTATTATGATTACATGTATTTCTCATAAATAGTTATCAGTTAATCACTTGGATCCACTTACAATTAAAAGATTATCCTTAATTTTCTGTTCCCTTCTATTAAACAATTAAGCCAAACAGTCAGCAAAATAAAAGGATTGAATTAATAATCAATACAGTTAACACAGTGATCATCATTTTAAGATGATGATAATTAACAATTTACTATTAAATTGCGTGTATTTGTATAATAATCATGTTGAACAATCATGTTAATCATAAATGATAATAATAATTACTAAATATATATAGATGATAATCCATCAGAATTGAGAGAGGAAAAAAATTCAACACGAATCAAATTAACTCTTAACAACAACAATCAACTAATCAAGGTTTCTAATAACCAAACAGGTTAAAAACAATTCAATTCAATTAATAGGGGAAAATATTATTTACCCAATTGTGAGCTAGTTGATTTTTAATTAATCAGTTAATTGTTGATTTAGTTAAATTGTTATTACATAACAATAGAGAATCAGAAAAGGAGGTTAATTGAAAATTAACTAATCATTACCAATTCAAAAGGGTACCAATGGTTAAGTAAATTGTTGTTGTTGTTATTTTTTTTTCTCAAACTTAAATCATAACCATTTAATTATGATCATTATTATTATGTTAATTGTAATGATAATGATTAAGATAATGATGATGATGAAGATATTTATCTTTACTCTCACGGTGAGAGAGAGAGAGTAAGTGAGTGAGTCAATCTTATTTACCTTGACAATGAATTGAAACAATTCACGAACTTTGAAAGTAAACAAGATGAAGAGAAAAAGTTTCATCGTAACTTTAATTAACTTAATTGTTAGGGAATAAAAATATTCGAGAAAAAAAATCAAATATTAATTAGTCTATAAGAAACAGAATTAATTAATTGTTCTATCATTACAATTTTCCAAAAATTGCTAAATTGTATCAATAATTTTTCCTTTTACCAATCAACTATCAACGCCTTCAGATGACACTTACTAACTTAATCTCATATTAATCATCATCATCATCGTCATTATCATTATCATCATTTACAATTGAGCAACAAGTTATAATCAATTTCATCTTCATCATCATCAATGACGATGATGATGATAATAATAATAATGATATTCCAATGTTAAAAATTTATCTTCCCAGAAAATGGATAATTAACAATCAACTTGATTACTGTGATTATTTATTCAATTCTTGGTTTTAGCTTCTGTTCAAAATAATATTTGTCTTCATCAAGCAAAACCTCACAATGAGATCTCAATATTATCATGTCAACAGTATCATCATCATCATCTTCATCATCATCATCATGTATTAGAAGCTAAAGATATTATTAATTGAGAAAATTAATATTGAGTTAATTTTTCTATTCTCTTCTTACCTGGGCGGTCTTATTATTATAATCAAATATTATTAACA